TTGCGAATATGCATTCTCGTTGCATTTGCATTGAAAGCTGTTGGAGTAAGAATTACACCAATTAAAATTCAGCTGTACTTTCGAATTTGATTAGTGCAATGCTTACACGAGTTTGGTTTATCACAATATAAAGAAAATTTGAAAAAATTTTTAAAAGTAATATTGTGACTTTTTACTGATTTTCTGAGGGCCCCCCAGAAAGTGTGGGCCCTAGGCCTATTGGGCCTAGGCGATAATCAGGCCCCGCACATAGGAGACCACATGGGGGTTCACGTAGACGGGAAAAGAAAACAGGGGTTCACAAGTTGTAAGTGGGGGTCCACGAAACATTTTCTGGTTTTCATAATAAAGAGCAAACATTTTGGCTTGGATTTACCTATCAACGTAGGCAGGTAGTAAATTGTAGCGAAAAACTTGAGTGATAGATTGCACCAATCACTTCAATATGTGATTAACCTAGTTAATAAAATAAGAAGCAATACTTTAAATACCCTTTTTTTGCACTATTGGGCGATAAAAATGATGATTTCCAACGACAGCTCTTACATGCTGAAGTATGCTAGTTGTCAAAAGGTGCATGCTTATCGAGATTTTACTCACTTTTCGAATCAGTGATAGTGTCTGGAAACTAAAGCACCTGATTTAAGATTTAATAGAAAATCTGATCAAATATAAAACGGACATTGCGTACTTAACAGATTTCTTCATAAAATTCGATGACGTTAACTTGCAGTTACAAGGGGACAGCCATAATTTAATAACAAAGGGTGTAATTTCGGCTTTTCTTGGTAAATTGAAATTAATGAAGCAAAATATTAGTCAGCGCGAATTCTCTCAGTTTCCGTCACAGAATGTCTTGATGAGGATGTACAGACACATTTAAATACTCTGCATGAGGACTTCAAAAATAGATTTGAAGATATTCTGACGAAGGAAATACCACCCTGGATCATAACCCCATTTGATGAAACGGAAGAGGCGAATGTGGTATTACAAGAGGAGCTACTTGAGCTCAGCACCAACGAAGAACTGAAGGTGAAATTTAAAAACGGCTATCAAACATTTTGGCTGCAGGCAGAAGTCCCCGAAAAATATCCTGGGCTGTGGGAAATTGCGAGAAAATCCTTGATAGCGTTTCCCTCGTCATATCTTGTCGAAAGAAGTTTTAGTGCCGTTAAAAAACTTGTTAACAAAAAAAGACTTTTGAGATTACTTCTTACAAAACTGAAGTCAAATATTGAATATTTGCTGTCAATTCATCAAGTACATAGTCTCATTAAAGGTATGACTATTTTTGATTGTTGATTTACATTTCAGAGTTCATTGTTTTTTGTCAATTGTTGATTGTTTGTAATAAATTTTTATAATTTTGTATAACCACAAGTATTTTAATAAATAAGAGCCAAGAAAATTTGCTACTTTTTTTTTCTTAACACCCTCAATTTAGGGTGATATTTTTTAGGAGTTTTGGGAACACAGTAGAAATGTAGCAACGGGGGTCTACCGAAAATAGTAAGACTTTGAAAGCGGTACACAAGGAAAAAAAAGTTTGAGAACCTCTACCTTAGAGCAAAGTGACCTAAAAATGAAATTCATTACAGTAAAAGTGAAAAAAGTTTTACTCTCGCGTGTGTCTGATTTGCGCAATGCTTAGTCTCTGAATGTTTCGCAAATATTGTTCAGTTCCAACACAAAGAAGTTATGAAACTAACCCTGCTCTTATTAAAAAGCATGATCATGAGGTTATCAAAGAGTGATCAACATTACGAGGGATGTTTCAAAAAGGTGCGCGTGATAATTCTATTCAATAAACTGATATAATGTATTGCATTTAACATAGACTATTTCTTTTTTATTTCAAGTATCAGCAGGTGTTTCAATAATCTCCAGTCAGAGCCAAACACCTCCAGAAGATGACTATTGTGACTTCATCATCCTTTCATTCAAAAAAGGTTACGGTCTTGAGATTTTTGTTTCCCAGAAATTTTACCCTTGCATAAAGACTTCCTGGTTTCAGAAATATTGTCAATTTAGAATTAGTCAGTATGTTATCAATATAAAATAGAAACATATATGTGAACATGTTATTCAAACTTATCGGAATATTTTCTATATTACTTAATTTTCAACTGTGCTCAACTTAATTTAATAACTTAGTATATTAATTTTTTCCTAAAAGAGCAAAGTTGCTCTAAATTGTAAACTCACAAAGAACGCATGCGTCTATAATTCTATGAGCTTAATTTCTATGAACTAAATTTTTCTAAATTTAAAGCTCTTCTAAACGCTTTGTTTCTTTTAATGCTGTTTACTTTAAAACTTAATTTAAAATATTGGCCTAGTTTCAACTCTCTCATTGTTTAAATTTTAATAGCTTTATCTTTCATTAATTCTGCAATTATTCATGTAAATTTTGGCAGTCAATTCAAGTATTAATTTTCTTGCAATGTTCTTTTAAATGTATTACCCTAAAATTGCAAAACTAAACTAGGTTTTTAATCGTGTTTAACTATTTTTAAATTTGAAATTAACTATTTTATACACCATTTCAAACCAGATCTTGCAGTTAGCAACAACTTTCAGTTTAAATTTAATAAGTAAACGTAACAGAAACATTAATTAATTTTCGTTTCGATGGAACAATTATGATTCATCAGCGTCAGTTTTCTCTCCATTCAATAGAGCTATAGCTATTGTGCATATTTTTGTCATAATAAGTAATAAAATATTGTATTAAATATAGTATTAGTTTTAGTTTAGTAAAAAGCCTAAATGTATTGCACACAGTCAGGCCTAGTGAAGNCATTCAATAGAGCTATAGCTATTGTGTATATTTTTGTCATAATAAGTAATAAAATATTGTATTAAATATAGCATTGGTTTTAGTTTAGTAAAAAGCCTAAATGTATTGCACACAGTCAGGCCTAGTGAAGTACTGCCTACTAAAGCTATTAATTTTTAATACTCTTTACCGGCTTATGCGTTATTCGGTCATTTAAAGTTCAGAAATGTTCGGACTACGAAAACCAAAAATTCTGTTTTAAAATTTTTTGTACCCGTAAAGGTTTCCTGCAGTGAACTGATCGTTAAGACACGGTTCCCATCAGTTCACCGAAATGAAGCATCACTGGCTGCGGTCAGGTGACCACTTGAATTAATCTTCGTAGGGACCGAGGGTGCGCGATATAGGTCCTCCTTAAACTGTTCTACCGTAAAGTGCCAGACTTCGCTTGTTGGTCGCTATGCTACCGAATCGGGGTATCAAAATTGTGATTTCTTCGAATCATCCTCAGGAATGTTTCCCAGACCGTCGCCAATAGCCCATTGTGCAGCTCTATAGTGCGACGTAATAGTAAACTATNTTTAAATTTAATAAGTAAACTTAACAGAATCGTGAGCTAATTTTCGTTTCGATGGAACAATTTAGATTCATCGGCGTCAGTTTTCTCTACATTCAACACAGCTATAACTATTGTGTATATTTTTGTCATAATAAGTAATTAAATATTGTATTAAATATAGTATTGGTTTTAGTTCATTAAAAAGCTTAAATGTATTGCACACAGTCAGGCCTAGAGAAGTAAACTGCCTACTAAATTTAGTTACTTTTAATACTATTTACCGGATTAGGCATTGTTCGGTCATTTATAGTTCAGAATTGTTCGAACTACAAAAACGAAAAATTCAGGATTTCAAGTTATTGTAACTGAAGAGGTGTCCCGCAGAGAACTGATCGTTAAGACACGGTTCCTAGCAGATTACCGAAATCAAGCATCATTGGCTGCGGTCAGGTGACCACTTAAATCAGTCTGCGTAGGGGCCGAGAGTGCGCGATATAGGTCCTCCTTAAACTGTTCTACCGTAAAGTGCACGATTTCGCTTGCAATTCGTTGTTACCGAAGCGGAGGATCAAAATTGTGATTTCTTCCAATCATCCTCGGGGATGTTTCCCAGACCGTCACCAATAGCCCATTGTGCAGCTCTAGTGCGACGTAAATGAACTGAAGCAATTAAGTAACCGTAAAAGTTTTTGCGGGGGTCAGAAAAGAAGCTTACACTAGAGTTCTTTATACGTTATGAGTTCTTTCATTTCTAGTTTTGTTTTGTAGTTATAATAATTTATAAACTCGGGTATTTAAGCTTTGGAGTTCTTGGCGAAGTTTTAGAATTTAATAAGAAAATTTAATCTTGATCCCAAGAACAGCTTCGTAACATCAATTGATTATGGCTAGTAAATGGTTCAAATAAAATATGTAAATTAAAAATTTGGAATATAAAAAGATCAAAAGGGAACATTTAAATTAAGTGGTTTTACAATAATCACGGATATAATCTTAGTGATCAAGTTTGGTGAAACTTGTAACACATTCTAAATTTGTGTTTCGNATCTATGGAAAGGTACCCCAAAATGGAATCGAGGTAGCATATCTTATATACTAGGGAATTGAAATTGTATTTCTGTAGTGGTAGACGCACCACATTATCTTATGAGACCTCTTTTCTCACCATCGTGGATTTTGAATGTTTTCGATGACAAATGTTCAGCACACTCGTTAGCACTCTATGAAAAAGAGTGGGAAAGAAATGCTTAGCTTTAATAGGCACGGGAAAATGGCATTTGATAATTACAAAATTCTATATCCAATTAATACAAAATTCAATCTCTTGTCTAGCCTGTCTATCAAATTTCAAAATTCTCATCACTTAGCAAAATCTTGCCAAACAATCACATGCGTTGGCAACTTTACATCGGTTTTGTCTGAGGAGTGGGTTCATTGTGCCAAGCACAAGTAAAACAAAAGAGCGTGTATAAAACAAGAAAAAATTAGAGAAATAGACTAAATATGGTACTTAGATACCATGAAGTTGATCGTCAACACGAAAAAACGCCAGTTTATGGTATGCACAGGTCACAGGCTTCAGAGAGTATATCAAACTCAATATTGTGCTGATTCACGGTAACAATACATATCGAATACGATAATATCGTGACCATTATCGATAACATCTAAAGAACATCACGAATTGTGAACAAAACGATAATTATTGAATAAAATAATGTGAGTGTTAAATTTAATTTTGGAAATGTCCAATGCAAAAATTTAAATTGAAGAATATTATGTTAAATATTGAAAAGATATTTTTAAGAGTACATAGCGATCCAAAAAAAAAATTCATAAACCTAGGTTATAGGGAACTGTGTTCTTACTGGCGACTACTCTGAAGAATCAGTCGCCAACATATTGCTCCAAAAACCAATAAATACCCTAAATAGTTACGTAATTCTAAATTCAATACTTTTAACTTTAAGCCATAAATTGC